TTGTAGATATATTCATTTCAATGAAATACAATAAAAGTCAAGTACGGCTTTAAGTCAGTTGGTTAAAGTTCGCTGACTATGAGCTTCAAATTTGGCAGGACACGAGTTCGATTCCTGGTACTTGCAATCTCAAAAAAATACAAGAATTATTTCCAAGACCACTGATGATGGGTATTTGGCAATGCTCGAAACAGCTGTATGGTTAGCCAAAAATTTAATTAATTAAAATAATATTAAATACATTTTTGTTGTTGTAGTTCACTACTATTTAAACGTACGAGTATTGGAAACATTTTCAATGTCAACAATCTAATTTAATTCGCCCTAATCAATCACTCGATTTGAGTATAAAATCCGCTCCTATAGTCTTTAAATAAAGTACATACAAACATGTATGGTAGGTGAGGCTAAGCCACATTGTAACGGTAAATTAAGTGTTCAGGCGGTTCGACTGCATGCGGTCAATTATTCGCGTTTCTATTCGTTCTGAGTTCGTTAGTTCGGGGTTTCACAAACTTGTCGATATGTTTTTTAGTTTTTATGTACACGTATATATGGATATATGAACGCTCTCACTAATTCTAATTTTTGTTGTGTACTAGACGTGTTTTGTTACATTTTTTGTTTGCAAAATATGCAAATGAGTTTTTCACTTTTTCCATAGCGAACTTTACTTTCAATTTATCATGCTAGGTTATTCGGTTTTTCCTTTTTCCATCACATAAAATACGATTAATGCAAAATAATAAAAAAACTTTTAAATACTATTTTATACAAGGATTATCTTAAATATTTTTGATTGCATTTAAAAACTTGAAAAATTCTGTTGACATATAAATTGCGGCTTAAAAATGTAATCGACATTTGTGAAAACTTAATTTTCTTAATAGTTTTTACAGTTTTATCTGTTTTTCCAAAATTGATTTAATATTCTATAAACTGTAATTTTCATGTCGTTTATCAATCAATCATAATTTCCATCGCCTCGTAAATTAATTAAATTGACTTTTCCATATTTATTTGCATACACGCGTACATACACCCACACACACACATACACATGCAAACACGTTTGTTTGCAGAAGTGCGTTTGTGCAGTTACGACATTTTAGTGGCTTACTTTTTTTTTAATTGACAGGAAAATTACTTTTCAAAGTGTAAGAAATGCGCTTTTATTTTCGTTCCAAGTAGTAAAGCATACTTTCAGGAGTAAGTTTCGGGCAAAAGGAAGTTTCATGCACATAAATTAGGTCAAGTTGAATGTAAAGTGCAATGGCTTTCAAACTTTTTATAACGATGTTCAATCGGTTTTAATTAAAGACATTTTATGCTTTTTTATGCTTTTGAAAAGAATTAATAATAACTTTTTAAATTTTAACACAAAATAGTAAAAAAACAAAATTAAATTAATTAAAATTAAATTATGTTATTCTCGATTTATTTTTTAACATTGAACGTTTTGAAATTAATATTGTAAATTAACATATTTCTTTTTAATTTTTTGGTGTGTTTGCTAGCACTTTTGTTTGTTGATTTTATTAAATATGTTTGAGCAAAGTTGAACACTAAATGCTTGTAGGAGTAAGGTGTTTGGGCTGCAAGTGCCAAATAAAGATGTAGTTTATAAGCTGGAAATTAACTACGGTACTTTTGTACTGCCTTGGCTTCTAATTTGAGTTCTCAAACTGGCATTTGCAGCCCAAACAAATTATATACGGACTATAAACTATTTAAGAAATTTGAATATTTCCTAAGATTGATGATGAGTACTTGACAATACTCGAAACAGCGTTGTATGGGCAGCCGAATTTCATTAAATTAACTAAATTCTAAAGTTTGTCCTTTCTTTCATTGCTATCCGAAGCCCTCTAAATTTTAAAAAAATAGCTTCATTATTATTATAAGAAAGAGTAGTTTTTTCAACAAAACAAATCAAACTTTAGAAATAAAAACCATTTAATAAATCATAAACATGTATTTTTTAATAAAAAAAATATTCATTGCTTAGAATTGGTTCCCAGCTAGAAAAATTTGTGGAACCGATTACTTCTACGACTGACCTTTTGAAAAACAAACATTCTAAATTCTTTAAATAATTTAAAAAAATAAAATCATACAACATTGCAAATAAACTAATCAAAAACAGTCAGAGGCATCGCAACAAAATTAATACTAATGCTATAGCAAATCCAAAAATTAAGATGATAAAGCTACAATTCATCGATTATGTAATCGTTTTGAGTAGGACAAATACTAAACAAAAAGAACTTTGGAAGACCAATAGCAAATAAGTAACTCAGTCGATAGACGCATACCATTCCTCGCCATATCGAGTTGGTAGTATCAAGTTTGCCTCCAACATGCACCAAACCCAAATACCTTTTTAGCCGAAACATTTTCATCCATTCATATGACATGATAAATCCAGCCAAGTCACTAAATTTTTATATACTTAAGTTTGGACAATCGTAGCTACAGGAAGTAAAAAGAGTAAGTAATAAGAAGAAGTAAGTAAAAGTTGTGCCAACGTTTTGGTTTGCTCCACAGTAGGGAACACTAATTAATGCAAAGGCATCATAATTAGCCTAGGGTTTAAAATAATCTCTATTGTTAATAATACAGATTTATTTAAAAAAAAATTATTTCTACTTGGACAGAGTAGGAAACTTATTACGATATTCTACTGCGTAAGCCTTGAACTTAACTAGATTCGCTGAATAATACATATAGTAATAAAGTATGAAAAAAATATTTTTGTCAACCTCATGGTTCGATTCTAAAAATGTGTCTTCTTTTTCTTCTCATTGTGAATACAAGTATGATTGTACATTAGAGAAATAATTAGAGTTGAGAGTTGAAATAATTTACATATGATATATTTAGGCTACATATATTTTTCTATATTATAGTTTATATTATAGTTTTTAAAAAACCATTACTTACAGACATGAAAATCCCACAATAGCTGGGGCTTTTTCTTTGTTAAACACTTCGATCACCTGAAGATCGCATCTTTCACTGCTTTTTCATATAAAATGTATTCAAGGGCAACACAAAACGCTACTTAAATAATTTTATTTTGTTTATCATTGTTGAAATTGTTTCCTAATATTTGTTTACATAAAGTTCAAAGGTGCCACACTAATTTCCAAATTTAGCCCAAAGAGCACACGTACTCGTATATTAATTTTCGATATGATAAGATAAAACAGAAACTAGTGCCTCATGATATAAACTTATACTAAATTAGTATTCATCATTCTAGATTACGAAATTACGAAATTACGGAGTCGATTACGTTAATCACGTCAAATATTATGAAACACAATAATTATTATATACACTATATACATATATATGTTTATCATATGTTTATCATTTTAATAATAGTATAATTTACTGAATGTATATTTAAAATAATTACTATTAAAACTAAAATAAATTTAAAAATAAACAAAACATTCAATTTTTTAAGTAATCTAAAATTATGGAGAGAAGTACGGACTGTAAGGGAGTTTAGTTCCTCACTAAAATTTTGCAAAAAAAAAATAAATGAGTAAACCTTTTTTAATTGAATTAAAAAAAACTAGAAAAACATCTGTCGAGTCAAAAATAATTGTTTTAAATTGTTTGTTTAAGTAATAAAATAAATTTAGTAGGAAATTTATGTAAATTTTAACTATAATTTTTCAAAGTTTGGCATTTCTCTTTAAAGTAAATTTTGGCAATTTTATTTTTCTTTTAAAGTAATTTATATATAGAAACTTGTTTATTATAGCCAATATTTTTTAATATATATATATATGTATAGAAATATATATATAATTTTTTAGCAGAAAGTAAATTTAAAATTACAATTGAAAAAATATTTAATAAGTAAATAATTGATTTGTAATAAATTATTTGAAGTTGAGGCAAAGTTAAAGTCAATCTTTTTTATTTTTTATGCAGTATAATATTTCTCAGTTAATCTTTTAAATATTTTTTATATTCGATTCGGCAAATATTTTGTCCAGTTGAATTTTATTTCTGCTAGGGTAATTTTATCTCTACTAAGCGAATTATTTCATATAATCATATAAGAACATCTAAGTCAGCATGGCTAAGTAATACGACTTGATATTATATTGACTTAGCTCTTTTCTTGTTAAATAATTATTAAACACAACTTTTTTAGAATTTTAAATAAAAAGCAAGACATTTTATACCAGCTGGACATATTTTGTTATGATTTTAAAAAAAAAATCTATATCTAGCAGTTACTTAGTTGAATGAACACAACAATTATTAACTAGAAGTCAAATATCATATATTATGGTTTAATTCTAAAGCATTTATTAAATAAATTGTTATAATTTATAGAATTTCATTGAATTAAATTAAATTAATTGTTTAAATTAATTAATAATTATACAAACATTTACTTGTAGAATTAATTTTAAACAATTTAATAAGCTAAAAAAACTGTATAATAATTTCTATAAATTATATACACCACATTATTTGTTCGCTTGGCTGCACATATTTCACCTCAAGGGTATTTTGCCGCAATAGAAAGCCGCCACTGTACTTTATTTATGTTGGTAGCGCAAAACTTGAGCATGTGGGCAAAAAAATACATAGAAAAATGCTCAACTTGAGAGCAGAGAGCGAAAGAACGTTTGGTTTGATATTTCCATTTTCTACAAAATTCTGGTATGTTGAATTATTTTCATTCAATTGGATTTTAGGTTCGGTGGAATTATGTCAGTGTGCGTTTAGTTTTTGTGTTTTTTTTTGACAGCAGGTTGTTGATTTTTTATTTTTGTTTATATTTTATTAGACAAAATCAAATAGAATAAATAAAATAAAATTAAAATGTGTGTGTAAATATTTGTATATATTAAATACAAATATACAAATAACAAAAATTTACCAGTTAAATGTATTAAAATAGTGCGCATAAATATATTAAACAAATGTTTTCAAGTTTCTCATATGTTTAATTGAAATATTCTGCCTAAAAATGCTGTCGTTGTTGTTGCCGATTTTATTATGAAATGCAATGTGAGAAAAAAATATGACAAAAATTGAATGAAGTCACTTGTGAAAAAAGAACAAGAGCACTAACAAATCATTTAAAATTTATTAAAAAATTGACGAACACTGCGAGAAGAGTGGGTAAGCATTAAAAAACATGAACATAAAAAATGAGATTTTCAATTGTGCAAAAAAAAAAACAAATAAATAAATAAAGTACATATAAAACGTTGAGAACGTTATTTATTTGCACTGTTTTGTTTAGAATATTGTTCGTAAGCAAGGAGAGAAAAGTTGACAAGCAAAACAAATTGACGTTTCATTTTTAGATTAGATTATGCCAATATTCAGGTAATGTTCATGATATCTAATTGAATTCATAGTAAGCGTTTTTATGCAATTATTATTTTTATTTTCAAACAGAGTTTATAAATTCTAAATAAAGAGAACTAACTTAATCACCTCATGTAGCGTTTGGTTTCGAGCAGCGCTTTTGCTGTCGCAGTTGCGAAGGCGTTGATAATTGGTGCGTAGTAGGGTTGCCAAATTAAAAAAAATCTATTCACGTTAGGTATGTTCATTGCTTATATGAAATGATTACATTCAAGCTGAAGTATGTATGAATCATAATAAACACTATTTATTGTAATAAATTTTAATGATTTGTGTATATAATTATTTAGTTTGAATGTAAAATAAATTGGTTTATTTATAGAATAATATCATTTATATGTAGAATAAAATAATTTATATTATCAAGTTATAATTGAAGTTAAGGCCCTCTATTAAAGAAAAACCAATCGTTTACCATAGAAAACTAAATTTATCAGCTTGAATACTTGAACATTTTAAAACATAATTATATTTTTGTTCTCTTTAATAATATATTCAATACACAATTCATTTAAGTTTGACACAAAACTATTAGGTGTACTAAGTAACGTTAATGAATTCGTTTAAAGAAGAATTGAAGTACAACAGTTTCATTTAATTACTTTTTATAATTATATTATAATCAATACTAATACTATGTTCAGACAGCCAAATTTCGTTGATATGAAATTAAGTTAATTTCGAAAGTGTTCATACTGCCCCGAATTGAGGAAATCATGTTTTTTGTTAACAAATCGAATATTAAAAATTACATGCTCCAAACACAATTTGTATCTAGAAAATTTTCAAAGTTGATTATTATACCTATAAAAGATGGCATTATGTAGGTTTATTAGCTTTAGTGGATTTCAGGATTTCATTCATGCATACTTCAGCTTGAATGTGATCATTTCAAATAATCAATGAATTTACCTATCGTGAGTAGATTATTTTTCACTCTATTTTAAATTAATAACAGTTACAGTTTTTTCTCTAAATACAAATTTAAAAATTTGTACTACTTATAAAATATTTTCCCGATTTCACTAAAGTCACTTTTTCGTTATCTCAACTTTATCTCTCCCTTAATATTTATTTTACGCATATTTGCATTTGAAATGTACCTTAATTTCAGCCTTCGTTTTAATTTGTATTTTGTATGAATTTTGTATGGAAAAACCAACTTAATTTCACTGAACCGAATATGAAATTACGATTTTTATGAAATTAAGTTGTGTCTGAACATAGTATATTTACTTTTAAGGTAATCTAAAAATATTCATACTGGTGGAATAAAAAAGAAATTCTTTATCAATCTGGACAAATATATTATAATTACCATTCAGCTAATATAAACCAATACCTGCACGGCAAAGGATTATGACGTGACTCTTAACGTCATACTGTGTTCAAAGGAATATATATAAAACTAGAAAATGATCAAACGTAGGAAATATATCTCCAAGCATTGAAAAAAACTGGTGGTTGTTAAAGGCTGCTTTATATTTCAAGGCTTATTTGTGGCCCCTAAAATTTTCCATAATTTCTAACTTTTATATTTCAATGTTTAAGTAAAAATACTCGTATATATCTATTTAAATATTAAAAGTGTGTATATGTCGCTTAAATAATGAATAAGCTGTTGTAATATACTATTAAATACAAGATATATACATGTTTCATTCATTAAGCCATTCACGTAACAGTGGCACTCAATATCAGGTATAGCATTTATTAGAAACTGTTCTGTAGTATTGTCTGGTATTTGTTTATTTTTTTGACTATTCAACCTTGATAAACAAAAGCACGTGAAAAATATACCCTTCAAACTGAAATACCAAATGCCCTAGCAACAGAGAGGGATAAACACTTAAATGTACTTAAAATCAATATTCATTTTCATTTATAAACTGACCTAATCATTTCACTTGATTATTTTAACATGCGTCCCAAACAAACAGAAAGGACATTTCTTAAATGAAATTCATTATTTTTTAATATTTGCAGTTTATTCTTCTATCGTAGCAGTACTCTAGCGCTCTAAAATGGCTACTTTTGAGATAGAGCACTTGCCAAACGAAGTTATATTAAATATATTTTCCTATCTGTCTCGAGTGGATCTATTGTGGGCAAGGCTCGTTTGCAAACGTTGGTTGCATTTGGCGAGTTTGCCTGAGTTTTTGGTGCGAAATCGTCTGATAATCACAAAGGATAATCTATTTTCACTGTTAAGTCGGTTGGAGAAGCCCGATGCGGCCAGTACCATGATATATCAAAACGTTCATCTATATCAATTGTACAGCTGTAATTTTTTAGATAAAATACTAAACAAAATAGGTTCACACATAATTAGTTTACGTCTAAACAACGCTGCAGTATTTACCAATATTCAAGGGAAATGTCCAAAGTTAAGAGAGTTGACAGTAGGAAACATAAATTGGATGCCAGTAGGTGAGAACCGCATTGCCATGGATTTAAATAATTTCGAAAGTTTAACATCAATCGATTTACTCTGTGATAATCTAACGGATCAGTTTAAAATATTATTACTGCAAGTAAGTGAAAGATCTCTTCACGTGTTCTTTATAATAATCTCTAACATTTCTTTATCTGTATAGCAACTGACAAAAGAGAATACCCGCATCAAATTACAAAAGTTACAAGTTCGTTATGTTATTCAACCTGCGGATTTAATGACAAATTTAGTTCGTATGCATGCAGAAACTCTTAGGCTAATAAACTTTTACTTTCCAACGCAACCGGAAGGAGACTTAGAAGAATGGTGTGAGATTTTTGCAAATTTGAAAAAATTGGATTCTATCATACTTTCGGGAAATAGCTCATCCGACTGGTTGTCGTGCGCTTTTGCATTTATACCAGACGAAGCACCGCTTAAACAATTATGCATGAGTGGTCTAATGCGAATTAACCATCCGCTTATATTGCTTATTTTACGTAAATGGAAGAACACACTCGAAAATTTGGAACTCATGTTCTGCACTTGTTTGAATGATGAAAGCATGGGACTGTTATGGAATCTGAGAAACAATTTACGAGTGCTAAATGTTTCGTACTGCAGTTTCGTTTCACAAGAAGGTTTACTAAAAGGTATTGCGAAAGAGTGCAATACAAAACTACGTGGCCTGTATCTAAATGATAACAGTGACCTAACTGGTGAGACTATTAGTTTATTAGCCGAACGTTTGCCGTATCTGGAGGTATTAAGCCTAGAGAATTGTCGAAACATTTCCAGAAATAAGTCTATTTCTTCGCTTTTTCAACATTTGACACGTTTAAGAAAACTAGTACTCAACGAATGCGCCATCACAGACAGGCAGTTGTTGGGAAGAGCCATAAAACCACAGTTTTCAATATTACGTCTACGTGGACTAGAAACATTGAGCCTACGTGGATGTCAAATAACAAATTATGCACTAACGCATGCTTTTAAATTCAAAGAACTGCGCGTGTTGAAATTGGGTTACTGCCATAGGATATCATCGCCTGGTATTGCGCATCTAGTCACTAATTGCCCCATGCTCGAATCATTGGATTTAAATAGTTGTGTAAGCATCGACGATGAGGCCATTATGCATGTTGCCAAAGGTCTAAAGCGATTACGTAAACTAAACATAAATAATTGCAACAAAGTGACGAGCCGTGCCATTGATTACATCATAGAGCACTGCAAGAATATTAACGAACTGTGCATATCCGGTATTAATTCCCTAGATGTAAAAGAGGAGACCCGTCGTCTGTTACGCGTTAGACCACAGCTGAAACTTTAGTACAAATAAATTTCTTATAAGAAAACTAAGACTTAACATTGCTTAATGCAGCAATAGTTTATATATAATAAATTAGTTAAAATCAAATTAAATTTTAGATTAAAAACTTGTACCAAAATTTGAAGATGTGACGTTCGTAAAGCTTTTAATATTTTTGTGCAATTTATAATTAATTAAATATTTAATAAGTAATTTATTCCTAATGTACCAGTGTCGCAAAATTGATTATAAAAATCGAAAACAATACATTTTTTATATACCACAACTGTATATATTTTTAAAGAAATTTTTACGCTAAGAATTGCATTGTTAAATAAATTCAATTGTTAAGTGATATATTTGACATTTTAAAATTAAGTAAAATTAAATGTTTTAAATAAATAAAATTAGCATTAGCAAATATTAAAGATGTAAATAACTTGAATTTATATATATATATTTTAGTAGTAGTTTCATATAACAAAAAAATATTTAAGAAAAATATTATCCAATTAGAAAACACAATTTCTACAAAAAACAATTAAAGTATTTAATCCAGTCTTCCTGTGAACAATCATAAAATCAACACCAGCAAGTTTAATTCATAAAATAAAATTTCTAAATTATAAAATCGTTATCGAAAAAATTTTAAAACTGTATAATTAATATATCATAAAATTAATAAATTCTTTAAGTTTATTTGCCCACACATAAATCATGTTAAATATAGTCATATATAGTCATATAGTTTTTAATGAACTCCCCGAAACCAACTCCCGGTTCTGACGAGTTCGTCAAACAGAAGTTCAACTGCAAGTATATGATATGATATGTTGATTTTGAAGAATTAAAATGATCTAATGCATATATATAATTGATAATTATTGAGTTACGTTAATTTGTTTTAAGTGAGAAAGTAAATATATTTTAAGCTGATTATATCAGGACACAAGATTTAAAAATGTTTTTTAGGAGCTTTTGTTCTAGTTTAATAAGTCAAGGACATTATTTTTAAATACAGTAGCCGTCCGATTTAATAAATGATTTCTATAACAACCCATTCGGTTAATCGAATAAAGAAGTTAAAGAAAGAATTATAGATTAGTTATAGATTATAGATAGATGTAGTTAATTATAGATGTAGTTAAGCTATTATTTTTTGAAAATTATTTTTTTAATTAATTAAATTTATAAATTGATATTAATATGTTTCTTCTTGTAAGTCTCCTAATTCATAATTTTAGCGTAGTTTATATTATATTCATTTTTTCATTGTGAGGCATATTTGTGTGGTGTTAAAGGTATTCAATGAAATATCAATGAAAGATTCCCTTCCCTTCCCTAAGATTCCCTTCGTAATTATTACCACGACTTGGACGTAGATATGGTAGATACTAGACGTTTACTCTAATTACATTTTATAGCGAGACCACAAGGTTTCATAACTTTTTGAGTTTTTATGCAGTCAAAAAAAGCTGGCTAGATGGGTTTTTAATCAAATATATATACATACACCTTGCGATGATAAATTTCATTGGGATGAGTCTATTATTACATAAAAAACATAAGAAGAATATCAGCAATAAAGACATCAACAACATAAAATTCAAATTTTAATAATTGGTACTTTATTAATAATATTAATAGTCTGTGGACAATTTATGTCATGGCTGTAAATTGTGAATATATATATTTGTTGAAAATTATCTATTAAGTTATACATAAAGACCGTTTCAAATGCTTTTACGAAAACAATACTCATCAATAATTGATATTTTGATTGTAGTCCGCGGACCATTTGAGCAAGACTCAAATTAGTCCCAATTAGACCCAAATTAGTGAGAGCATGGGTAATGAGAGACAATCTCATTTACTCTAAGATAGGAGAATTCAAAAGTTTGGCTAGTAGATATAGCAAAGTTATTAACCTGTACTGCTTATCTCTATATGCTTACCCGGAGTAAATTATCAAGGCCGTTGCTGGAATTTGATTTCCTTAATTATAGCTTATTATTTAGTTTATGATAAATGATAAAACATTAAGTACTTAAAGTCGGAAGAACTGCTTTACATAATGTTTAAGATCGAAGATTATGATAACATTGAATTAGAATTCAGAAATGCCGTTGTTTGATTAATTTATGTGGGTCAGAAATATGCGCGATAATAAGAATATTTTAAAAACATTTTATCTCTTATTAAACAGTCGTAATATATATCTAATGATATATGTGTATATATATAAATATTGTCCCACAATAACATTTGTAAGATGGTTTTCATAGCTTTTCAAGCTTACAGTCAGGGGACTATGTGACTGTATGCATGGATTGGATTATTCTGCTGTGTTCTATATTCTACTTAATAGAACTACATATGTTCTAATGGAACTATGAAAAGTTTGTAATATTTGCATATATAGCATAGAGTATAGTCATGAATGAGATGAATTTGATTATAACTAGGTACGTTAGATGTTATCGATAGATATAGAGTTGTTAGAATTATGTGGATGAGTAGCGTAATTAAAATAAGAAGTTGATATCTAATAATACTTACTTTGAAAAACAGAATTCCAATTTGTACGGTTACATAAATCAGAACATCTGTAGACACCAGTTGTTACAACCGTTACACTTATCGAACGTAGTGTTTTTGTTTGTTTGAGAACAGCTGATTGAACATTAATATAATGATGGGAACGGTTCTAGAGTCTAGGACTCGATGAAAAAACAGTTCTAAGGAGTAATGACCGGCAGTTGATCATTGATTTTGATTTGAATTCATTTTGTGCCTTAGCACATTCCACCAACATAACTCTACCAGTTTTAATAATGTTTGAAATATGCATAATTTTTAATTTAAAATTAGAGTAGTAAAATTAGAGGACATCTCCTCTCTCTCTCTCTCTCTCGTATTTATACATGGTGTATATACACAAATCACTAGACGGTGCCAAAAACTGTCAGGGAAGTCTATCTGGAAAACTTGGTGAACCCTGGTTGCGTAACTGCTTTGTTTTGTTTAAATCCCAGAGAATGTAGAGAAACAATCGACATGCTAAATCGGTTAGCTTCACTGGATGTATCACTGGCAGTACCGGTTTATATTACCCTAGAGACCATTAAGTGAAGTACCTTCCTCTACTTCCTGCAAGTTGTCAATTACAAATGGAAAGCACTTAAATCATGTGCAACTTCCAGGTTAACATGGCTCACCTATAATAAAAATAGCGCTTCGGATTCATCAAAAGAGAGTGTTCTTTCTGGTCTTCTTTCTTTCTGGACCCCACGCAGAGAAACTGCGCATTCCTCATAATCCTCACTGCAGAAGTTGTGGGAACTCGCAGGAAAAAGAAACCATAAAACATTTTCTTTCTGAATACCCGGCTTTGACGTCCAGAAGATATAGGTTCTTAGGTAGATATTTCTTTGATAGTTTATCAGACTGTAAATCGGTGAAGACGATAAACCTATTAAATTATCTAAATTCGGAGGGCTGGATTTAGTAACTACTCTTCTATACTAGGGTTGTTGCGAGGAATGTGGTAGCAAATCCGCGAAAAATCCCTAATTGAGGTATATGGAAGTTATATACTGGCTTGCCACTGCAACCTACCAGCACAGAGATATATGTACTTTATTATGTAGTAATGTGAAGTATATTTTTAATGAAATTTGAACTGTGTTATATGATATCAATACACGTTACATAAAAATACACATATACATCTACATAATAAGCATATATATAACATTTACTTTCAATTAAGAAAAGAAAATTATTTATGTGATACCAATTATGCGGTACGTAAAATATTTATGCCGACATGGAGAGTCTATCTGGTGCCTGTATGAGTACTGTAGGGTGACTGAGTGAAATCAAATTTCAGCCGCAATATCGGAAATTATGGCAGATAGCGATGCGCAGATAAATCTGATTAGTTTATCAGGCAAGTTCGATACGCGCGTTCAACGGATAAATTTTATATCAATAAACTTTTCCACATGCAATCAAAATTTGAATTTATGCTCTCGCATGTACGATAAATTCTGGAGTTGCAACTCGGACGTAGTACCAATCGGAAGCAAAATTGCTTAGAGGAATTTTTCGCTTTCGCGCTTATTGACTAAGGAAATATTGTACAATAAAGTGTGATAGTACTTAACACATAAGGGGTCAAGTTCATATTTAGTTAAAAATATATTAAAAGAAAGATAAAACTCGGATAATAAATAGAATTAAATAATGGAGAAATTAAATAAATAGTGCGATTAGCCATAAAATTAATCAATTTTGACGCGGTTTGCATTATACCGCACAACGTCTGCGTTGTGATTGCGAATTTAGTGTGAGTTGAAAATATCTGAACTGGTCTAATCACCCAATGGATGATTTGCAATAAATGAGGAATTGCTAACATAAACAATTGTTCTTATTGTTTATTTAACAAATGATTACAGTTTTCAACAGGCTATCGTCAAAGTCATGTATTAACGATATGTGATTGATTAATGGAATCATCAAAATAAATTTGCTGTTGAAGCGGCAACAAATCATTTAAGTTCATAAATAAATTGGGATTAACTTTTCATAACTTTTCGTTAATAATGACGAAAATAAATTTAACGAATGTTAATTTATCTCCATCAGTAATTATAGAAAACACCGACACCATTACAACGCCATTTACGACAAATTTTGATAATATGGGTTTTTTCAAATTAAGTGACAATGTTTTTGGCAGTCGTGAAAATGGATCCAATAGTGGTGAAAATAAGATTCATGCCTATAACGAGTCTATAACGTTAGTAACAAGAACTAACATTCCACAACCGAATTCAACCTCTCTCGCTTGGCTACTAGACAACTACAATGATACATTATCATATAACACCTCGCCGTATTATGATTTTGGACCACAACGCGATTCACTAAAAATTGTCATACCGGTAACAATCATTTATACTTTGATTTTTATTACTGGTGTTATTGGAAATATTGGAACTTGCATTGTCATTAAGAAAAATCGTTCTATGCATACAGCGACAAACTATTATCTCTTCAGTTTGGCTATATCGGATTTCTTATTACTGATCTCTGGTGTACCACAAGAGATGTATTTTATTTGGTCAAAGTATCCATATATTTTCGGTGAGTTTTTCTGTATTGGGCGTGGTGTAGTAGCGGAAACATCTGCTAATGCTACTGTGCTAACTATAACCGCATTTACTGTTGAGCGTTATGTAGGTATATGTCACCCATTTTTGGGTCAGGCTATGTCAAAGCTTAGTCGTGCCATACGTATCATAGTATTAATATGGATTTTATCCATTCTTACTGCCATTCCACAGGCCGCACAGTTTGGTATTATAATTTTTAGTGGCGTTGAAAAGTGTTCGGTGGTACGAAATATCATAGAACATTCCTTTCAATTATCGACTTTCATATTTTTCCTTGCTCCAATGTCGATAATTGTGGTTCTGTATTTGTTGATTGGACTGAAATTATATCGCTCAGATTTAATTATCAATGCTGGAGATGCTAAAAGTGTTGGCGATGATAAAAAAACTGCTTGTGAACGCTTGAACAGCAATAAAGGCACTAATCGTGGTGACACCGTTTTATATCGCTATTCTGGTGGAACTCAGTTGAGTGCAGTACGAGGACGTGGACGTGGCCGTTCTAGTCATTTTGGTACAAAACGAGTGTTAAAAATGCTTGGTAGGTGAATGAAAAATTTCATAATAATTTAACTAATCAATGTTGTCTATTTACTTATTTATAAAAATGTTGCTTAAAATATAAAAAGCAAAACATTTCAAAATTGTTTCCATAATCAGTACAAATTTTAATATTTTCTAAATGATAAATTTCTACTTTCCTGAATGTCTATTAAAAATCCATAGAGTGAGCATTAAAGACTTTACTACGCAAGTTCCATGTCCCAGAATGAGGTTCCCTACATTCAAAATTCCTGCAGTCAGCTAGCCAGCATTATATTAAAGATAATACCGCAACGGTTTTCCGTTCAATAATTAGAGTAATTCCAATTAAAATTATTTTAATAAACGTGCTTTTGATAGAGAGGTTTCGAAAAGTAATGAACTACAACAACCAAAATTTTTTTGTATTATTTTAATTAATTGAGGTTTGGCAGACCATAGTTACTACCATCATAATTGCCATCAAATTACAATTTAAAATAAACGTGTTTTAAAATTTTTTTATGGTATCTCTTCTTATGTTCTAAAGCAGAGCTGTCCAGATTAAATGCGATCGCTAGCCCATATAAGTCATTGTGCAGAGTGAGAGGCCGCAGCCCTGTTCTAAAGGAGCGAATCTTCCATGAGAAGAGTTCCCACTTATCTCTATCTGTTTGTAGACAGGCTAAATGTAAATTTTTATTATCTTATAAATACAAATAGTATATTCTGATATATATGTACATATGTTTTCTGTAAACTATTTTATTTCAATGGATGCTTATTTCCGCCGTACTGTACACATATCATGTGTGGTAAATATGACACAATCTATTTAGAGAGTGTTTGTGGCGAAGTAGTAATTTAGTTTAGCATCCATGTTATGTACTTGTTATGTACTGTATTTACTTATCCATTGTTAGTTTATTTTTACCATTTTTTGTGTTTGCACAATTGCCAAAAATAAAGAACCAAATTGTTTATTAAGCAGTTCGGAATAATTTGCAGTTGGACACCAGCTGTGAATTTATCGCTAACCAATTTATGGTTTCCCCATGTACATAACATAAGAGATTATTGAAAGCAGCAATCGAATATTTGGAACATACATGGTACCTTGTCTGCGGCTACATATAGTCTCTGAGTCGTTTAGTCGTTGTGTGACCCTTTATATCATAGAGATAAGTAAGTCGGTATTTAGCATTGCAATTCATTGATATGGCGAAGTATCTAAAAGTGATTATATTGTGTATCTATACGTATAAACAATTGACATATTAATATAATATTAATAATCATAAATTGTACTTTGTAATTATTTTGGTTGTTGCTGTCGCTAATTGCAGTTGCTGTTGTCATTTGCTTCTTTTTGTGTTGGGCTCCGTTCCATGCGCAACGTTTAATCGCGATTTATGGCACCGATGTCATTGTCGGTGGTGGCACCGACGACAGTACTGGGAGTGAAGAACTTGATACTAACAATCATGAGGAAATTATTTACACTGTTATGACTTACGTGTCCGGAGTACTTTACTATCTTTCGACATGCATTAATCCGCTCTTGTATAATATAATGAGCAACAAGTTTCGTGAGGCTTTTAAGGTAAACTAAATCACTATATGCCACGTAAATGGAAATGTTAAATCTCTTTTTTTAAACTAACTTTTCATATCTCAGGCAATTCTATTCCGAAAGAAAGCAAAAGGCTCTATAAATTCGAGACGCACACAGGAGTCACGCCGTTTGCGGCGCAATGCCACATTAACATCTACTACGCAGCGGGAGTCCAGCGAAACAGAATTGGTTAGTAAACATTCTGTGCTTCAGGTGAGTTCACCGCATCGCAAATATTTTCTATTTTTTCTATTTTCTAAGAAATAATAGAAATAATTTTTGCTCTAACTTTTTCAGGCGGTGGTGCAGGAAAAAAACGAGACGATTTAATCGTCATCAAAATTTTTACCAGAAAGAAAATTTTGTAATGCTTTTCACAGCTTAAAAAACAAAACAAAATATATTCTTCTGTACAATATTGGTCATATGCTACACATCTATACATTATTATTCAAAATTTTGTTTATTTATATGAATATTAATTTTAGATATATAACTACGCTATTTTGTGATTTTTAACATTTTTTATGTAAAAATATACTAACATATATTCAAACTCTGATAGAAAATTCTTATTACTTTTAGCGATGATTCTATCTTTAGAATATGAGTATATAGCGGACTTTCGTGATTACAACAGTATTTATATAGGATATAGGTATTAATGTTCTATTTATGTATTTCTAAAATTTAAGAAAGTTTGTGTCCGAACCAGGCACCAGAAATATATGTTTATAATTGTGATAGAGATCTTATAATCTCTTTGTTCTTGAACATACCACATATATCAATAAGAAGAGTACATCATATTTTTTATATATGGATAAATTAATTTAGGTTAAAATTGACAGCAGTTATTAGTTAAATATAGAACCGGATTAACATACTTTGAGGTACTAGATTGGTAAATTCTTCTTATCGGGTCTTCCCTAAATTATTTATTTTATTTTTTTTTCTATTATTTTAAAAGAAATCATAATTGATTCATTGAGTCATTTAGTTTTGAAATTAATTGATAGGATTATAGTTTGTTTTGTTGTTTTTGTAGCCCTACCAGTTACTTCGTTTGTGTAGAAGCCAATTTAATTTTTCTTTCTTAAGTACAGAGAAACCACGACAGTTGTAATTAGTATTTAACTTTTAAGTGCGAATAGATCCGAAATTTGTACAGATTCTTAAGAATAATTACTTAATTAATTAATTAATAATTAATTATTTAGATTCTCTGTTAGGAAAGGATTGTCTATTGGCTTAAGTACGTATATTAGGTCGCTGAATCTATTAAAAATTTAAAGGAAGAACTACTATTAGCTTCTTTAATAAACATTTATGTATGTACATATATATTTTGTAACCATTTAGTGAATTTTTTGATTTTAATAACGAAAACAACTTACAGCAAATTAAGTATCTCTAATGTACTATATTTTATATATTTTATCATCATTTTTTATTTATTCAGTTTAGGATACTTATCTTTCGTTATCGCACTACTGAACGGCAAGGACAAATGATCTGTTAATACTGTGAAACTCAACATAACGACTGTAGTCTTGTCCACTGTGGGTACTCGCGAAGAATGTGATCTTAAAACTGATCTGCTGACCAGCCATATCAATCAAGCAACCATTCTTTGTCAGTAGGTTGGTGGTTAGGAACATGCCATTAATGTTTAATCAACGATGAAATTGTTACTGACTATAATTGATAATAATAATCCTGTTTATATAAATATCACATTCTACAACATGAATTTTATACTATTCAATATTATTATCCTCTATAAAAATAAAATCTTTTGAGTACAAGAATATCCTTTTGGTCTGTGATTCTTCACATTTTCTTTTAAGTTGTTAAGCTTAAGATTTACATTAATATGAATATTCTTTGATATATTGCTTTAAATAATTTAACGTTGTTAATATAATTTTTCAAAATCTCCGCATATTATCATTGCTATATTGACCTTAAAAGCGTTTCGGTTTTTTTTTTCATCAGGAACACTTTAAAGGTTTCCCATCAACCTCTTCCCGATATACTCTTCTGTTTTTTTATTTGTCTAACCATGAATGCATTTCGTAATTTGGAAAGAAGTTTATTTTTGGAAAACGTGACGCATTTTCGGAAATTTATTGGGTCTGCTTCAATGTCACTCATATTGATTTGCAAAGATAATTGACAACAATTGTTGCCAACGCGTTTTATCCTTAAATCGTTTTACAGTTCCTCGAGCTGCGAGTGTTTGGTTCACAAAAATTACATGAAATTGCCATAAAATAAATTGCATTTTTGCAAAATATGAACAAAATTGCATTTGCATTTAAAAATTTCAATTGAGCTAAACTTTAAATATTAAAAAAAATCGTACAAATATTTGCATAGACGACGTTCACACTAGTCGTCCTTATTTTTATCCTTAGCACATCCATCGTCGACGTTTTCGTTTTGTATTACTTAAAGCAAATAATATATTGCGGTTGATTTGATATACAAAGGACATTTAGAATAGACATGGGAGTGGGAGTGAGAGTGAAAGTGGGGGTAATATATTACCGAAGTCAATTTGCATATTTTCACGCAATGAAAGAGGTAAAAGTATATATTTTCTTCATAACTGCATTTTCCACGTCACTCGTTGCTTTTTTCCGCTTTTCCTACTTCGCAATCCTCATCGTGGGCATATCGATGCTCCTGCCTTCCTGCCATACTTTTATTGGATTCGTCTTTTTTTGCGTTAATTAAGGTTATTTGCAGCGATTAGCTTATACATAATTCCTGCTGGAATATTTAATGATTTTTAATTGACAGATACAAATTATGGGTTCTTTTTGTTCGTTAAAACCACATAACTCATACGAAAGGATTACGTGATAAACTTGTTTCGTGAGTTTTAAATGGCAAAAATTAAGTGAACCATGGTAGGAACTATTTTTATTACTAATGCTTAAAGATATGAAAGAATATGGGGAAGAGAATATGGAGTACGGAAATTTAAATATTGTAAAATTATTTTTAAACGATTAATTTGAATTTTAGAGCAGAAAAGATTTTTATGTTTATTTGTTTAGAATTATTATTCCCACATTTTACGAGTTAGAGAGATTGATAAGTCGAGTGACGTTGTAGACTTTAAATTTGTATTTGGAATAATTATAAACTATGTTTATAACAATGGAGTACCTATTTAAATCGCAAGTCTCTCATACACATAGAACTGTCAGGTTAGTTTTTCTTTACCTAATGGGGAAGTCCTTACCTTTTTGGATTTGGCTGTATACTGATTTAAATCTATGTACGTACCAATGTTATTCCTGTGGTATCACGATGACCCGTCATTTGAGCTCAAGTGGGCTTTTTGGAAATAACGCCGCCACTACAACCTATCTACCTACTCACATACAAGTAAGTTTCGCAACCAACTTCAAACTATCAGTTAAGAAAAGTAAAGCTTGAATTCAAAGAATGATTAGATCGGTTTAAAGTACCTATACTATGGACGTATGCAAGGCACTTGTAAAAACAGTTTAATGAAACAATATAACAATATTCTAGTGAGCTCGAACACCTAAAAATCCTTTTTATGTAAACCGGTGAATTACACCACTATGTGGAACTCGATTAAATTAATAATCTCATTATTATTTTCTTAATATCGAACTTCAATGTGTGCAATTTGTTTTAAGATACACAATATATATAAAATATAAGTAGATTTCATAAAAAATAATGTTAGACTAAGAAAATTATAAGTTTCATAAACGGTCAAAAATCGGTTATTATTGTCAAATTCATTTTCCAAAATTTTTGATGTCAATAAAGGACTTTTCCCTTTTTTTGTAAAAACAAAAGTTATAAAGGCTCTGACTTCACTGGGTTAGTTTCAATTATTTTTAGTTCTAATTTTTTTACGAGTTGTGGAACCAGTATGGACGGTATTTAATAATATATTAATCTATTAATAAAATCTGTCTCGTCTGAGCAATTTTATGAATTTTAAGAGAATAGAAATACATTAATACGAAGTTTATTGAGTATCGTGTTGACTGCTTTTTATATATATTATATTAATATATTAAAAGGTTTTCTATTATGTATCGTGTAGATTGCTGTATATATTACCAAAGTAAATGATGACCCACCTTCTGGTCTTTACCACTTTACCATTAGTCCTGCTTAATTGATATCAACATGAAACTCTTAAGATTTTCCACTTTACGTTGATTAAACGCAGTTAGTTGCTTCCAACATGCCCCTCAGCAACTGCGGTCTAGAATATTACTAATTAAGGTCCTATGATTTTTAGTTTTATCACATTCTTCTTCATCAGTATGCTATTTTACCTTCACTACCAACCACATCTCCTAACACTCTGGGGTAGATTAATTTAGATTTTTGAATTTATTATTAAGACTTATCTTTGACTCCTGTTCTTAGTTATTGGAGTGATGTTATATTAATACTTATATTTATACCATATAATGGCTGGATTGTTTCATTATTCATTCATAATATATAATTTTAATCTCATATAGTGATATTTGTAGCTTATTTTGCTCTCTTCACTTGGGATGAAACTTAAGTGAACGAAAATATGAAAGTATATAGTAAAACTATTTTAAGATTTTTGAATAGAAACATCTCTATGATATACGTAGAATAATAACGGAAGCAATAAAGAAATGTATCATCATTTCCCATTTTTCTAATCTAATATTAATTTCTGTAAATTTGACGCAAATATTTCGCGACGGATTGCGTCATTTCCATTGAACAGATAGATATCTTTAAAATGTATGCTTTTTTCGACTCAATGTTGAACACAAAAAACCTGTGGAAATTTCGCAGAAATAGTTCAACACGATGGTAATGACGGACTTTGATAGCAAAATGTCGTATAGTTTTTTTCGTGATTTACAGCTCCGCTGAGATTAGTGTTAAGAATAGTAAAAATGGTAGCCATGGAACCACCGAATAGATAGAAAAAGGATTACGATTGTAATATGAAGAATCGTTATCAACAGGTAGTCACAGTAAGAACCTAAAAGCTTGACAACTCTGATACAAGCACACACTTGCAATGAGAACACACACCAACGCTGTATATGGCACATCGACGGCTTACAAATACATACAAAAGACAGATTTTGTTAAGCTTTCACCTGTTGCTGGAAAGTTGAAGTTTTTAATATCAAAATGTTTTTTTTGAAAATTTTTTAATATTTATTAGCGAGTAAAAATGATATTTATGTATATATTTTTAATTTAGCTAATGTCACTTTTTTAGTACAATTTTAATACTACAACAATTTTGCCAAACAAATCTTCTTCTTATCTGTGGCTTTTAAGGATATACAAGTGCATCGTAATCAAAATGTTATATCCGTCATTATTTTGATAGTAGTACACCTACTTTCTTTGTCCCT